GATACATGCATGTATGCAGAAATTAATTCACTAGTATACTAGAGTGACCCAAAGTCAGCATATAGCAGGCCAACGCCTGCTATGTACAGAGTTGCACCACAGCCAAGAAGGATTCCGACAATATTGTTGTGATCCACCCTGGCTGCCTAACTGACAGCTGGCTCTGCCTCTCTCTGTGCAGCTGAGAGCCAAGGCCAGCCGTGCCCGTCCCCCCATGTGTCTAGCGCCAGTGAGTACTCGATAGAGAGGGGAAGAGGAAAACCGGAGCAGTGACAGATTTTAAATCTACTATATGGGTGCCTTTAGTGTTCGTTAAATTACTTAATTTTGCGGAAATGGTCTGTGTGCATCATCAGTTTCAGTGTGGTCCATAGGTGTTATTAGAGGGCTAATGGATCCCTGATGTCTCCATAAAAAGACCTGTCACTTGCTTTGTGCACACAGTGGTCACACAGAAGCTCCCAACATATGTCAATGGTCAGTGGAGTGGTTAGATATGAAAATAAGGTTCTTTGTTGTTGTCTATAGACATAAAAGTCAAAAACTGCATATCTGTAAAAGTGACTCTAGTTTACTTAGGCTGTATGCTTTGCGTAGAGTAGGAGTATCTTTAAAACAGCTGATGGAGCGGATTATGAAGGCACCACTATGTTCACATGTTTGAGAACTAAAAATGTTCATTTTAAAGCATTACAGTCAGAGATTCCATTCAATCTAATTACATCATTTGTTTTCCTGTTTCCTAGCTTTAGTAATGCAGTCATTCTATCACTAGACCTTCCTATAATTAATTGATTACATGTACCTTTGTGAATTCCTGTAGCCTTTGATCAAAAGACAAGGATTTGGATGCATTTAGGATGTAAGGAGCCTCTCACATGGCAGCGTGTTTCATGACAAATTCTGTGTCATGTAAACCCTCCATTTAAGGCACACGTGTGACAGACAATAAATCCCAGAGATGGTATTTCTGTGGAGTCAGCAGGGGGCTGATATCAAGGCTATTGAAAAGCTATTCCTTCTGTCTTTTTTTTGATGCTCAGCCAGTAGCTGATCCCTTGCTGGTTTGAGATCACAGTACCACTGCTCTTTGCAATGACTGTGACATATCGTTTGATTTATAAAATGTTACCTATGCTAGCAATTCTGCCAAGGCATAAAGGGAATTACAGGTTTTAGCATTTTCCAAATAAGAAAATTGCAATTTTCCCATTTTTATAGGGCTCAAATGCTTTAACTACACTGAGGCTCGTCATATCCAAACTGATATATGCAAAAAATATACATGATATATGCATCTTATTAGAGCATTTTTGGTCACAATCTGGAAAGTCCTGCAACAATCAGGCATTGTATAAGTTAAAGTGCATATATAGCCAAAACCTTTTTTTTTCTTTCTAGTTTTGAACAGAGCAGGGAAGGGTTAAAACCTCTAACAGTTAATTTGTTTCTGCCTGTGACCCCATTAACCACTTCAAGACCAGGTGTTTAGACCCCCTTCCTGGCCAGGCCATTTTTCAGTATTCAGCGCTGCGATACTTTGACTGACGTTTATTCCGTCATGCAACGCTGTACTGAAATGAATTTTATACCATTTTTTGGGGACAGATAGAGCTTTCTTTTGGTGGTATTTGATCACCCGTACGGCTTTAATTTTTTACTATAATTAGGAAAAATTACTGAAAATTTTGAAAAAAAATCGTTTTTTTTAAACATTATGTTAGGAAACACTTATTATTACCCAGTTTTTTGGTAAAATATAAAAGATCGGGTCACGTCGGTTAAATAGACACCAAACATGTCAAGCTTTAAAATTGCGCGCACCTGCGACATCGCAGAAAACTACCATACCCAAAATTGTCCATAGGCGACGCTTTAAAAGCTTTTACCCCTCATCAGTTTAGTGTTATCAGTGATTGATGGCCCTAGACTTATTGCTCTTACTCCGACGTTCGCGGCGATATGTAACATGTGCAAACGTTTGCATTGCCCCTCACTTTCTTTCTGGGTGACAAATGGTACAAATAGAGTGGTGAATGTCCCCAGGGCCACATTTGCCACAGAGCCCCCGAGTGGTAGGGAGCAGAGGGGCGGCAGGGGTGTGGAATCTCCCAACGCCTGGGATATGCAGTTCTGGGCGCCAAGTTGTTTTCTACATTCTACATTTAGTCCTGCTTTGGGCAAGCAGGGCTAAATTTAGAGCGGGGAAGCCACTTATTTGTTTACAAGTGACCTCAGCGATGTCGCCGAGATCACTTGTATGCAGCCCGCAGGTCTGTCCTTCCCCCTGCTGCTCCCCTGCGCCTACCTCTCTCCTCGCTAGTACTACTTCTCAATAGTACTATCTGACCACTCATCAAATGTGAGTTTTTTAGTGAGATTTGGCTTTGTATCTGGATTTATTAAAATTTGATTGTTATAAAGTGCCTCTGTTTTGTTTGAGTGTACTGCACTTTATTTGGAAAGTTAAAAGCCTATTGATTCTCAACATCATAAGCTTTTGTTGTCTCTCATGAGAGATCTTGCTATACTTCCCCTGCCTATACTTTGGAGATCAAGAAGTTTGGCGAGTGTCTGTCCAGTAAGTGTAGGGTTGACACTACAGCGGCTTTATGTGCAGGTTTTGGAGGCGACACATATATTGAGAAAAATGTGGATCTTACTCTGGAGATTTACACCATCTGGAAGAAATATACAGCATATAGATGATTAATATGAATTGTTTTGTTTGCTTAGGTATCGCACTACTGACTTTTTGTTAATATTCAAAAGTAATTTATATTTCACATTTACTAGAATGAGTATGGCGCTACCTTATCACATGAAAATGTTTTATTTGTTTAATATTTTTAAGGGTAAGCAGCTTACAGGGTATATATTTTTTATTTGGTTGCGCCGCATTAGGGCTTTATATAGTATTGTATTTGGAAGCAAGACATGACATGATAGCAGGGAAGATGAAAGGATAATGGGTGATGTTGCTCTGTATGCAAATTACCTGTTAGAAAAGCTTAGTTATGAGTTATGGAAGCAATACTGTATTACTTGGCATAAAAATAAATATAATTTGTAATTACTTTTTTTTACATTTTAAAATAATAAATATATGTAATAATAATAATAATAATAATAATAATAATAATAATACAGCTCTTATTTTAATTGAAACAAAGTAATATATGAAGACTGTGGCATTGCTCTAAGCCTGTTTCCCTTTCTGAATGGATCAAATTGAAATCCAATATGGTCTGCTTGCTTGTTTTAAAGAAAATCTGCACAGTAAGACCATTCAGTAGTCAGACTGCTGCTGTGGAGGCACTTCAGTATGGATTTCTTCCAAAGTACCCTCATAAATAGGGGAAACAAGTAATATGAAATAATTCACTTGACAAAATATCTTTTATCACACAGTTCTTTTTATGTCTCTTTGTCACATGGAAAATGTACATCAAAATCCTCTTGTAAGAGTAACAGTCCTCACTACCCGGTCAATCACTGTTCAAGAATATAAAAATGTAGTCACAATGAGTTACTTTACAGTGCCTAATTAACAAAGAAAATGGCTATGTTGGCAGCATGCCAAAAAGGAAACATCTTGCTTGCTCCTGCCAAGGCACTGTAAAGGGATGTTCTTTTTTTTTTCTTTATGGAGTAATTAACTGCTATAAATGATATACCAATTTAAAATGTGATATTTTTTAACTGTTAAATCCGTTTACAGCCTGAAAGTAAGACATACAATGTAAATTGATATCTTAATTACATACTGGCAGTAAATTTATTATGTAACCTTCGGAAACTGCATCAGGACAGTGTAGAGAAACACACGACTATAGTAAAGTTATTTCCTATATATTAATGAATATGTTCACCTTTTACAAAAATTAAAGTAATGTATAATTTATAAATATATGTATTTTTTATTTTTGCATTCAAGCCTGGAAAGCATTGCAATTGTGATCACTCGATCACAGCTGCAAAGCTCAGGCTTCTGCAGATTTCTCCCAGGCAGAGCTCGTACTGAGGTACAGAGTTTCAGTTAGGAGAGGGGGGGAAGGACGGCTGGACTTCGAACTGCTTTAAATCACCTTATATGGCATCCAGCCACCCTCGCTCTAGGTAGAGCTGCCCATATTCCCGCATCTACCTAGAGGGAGGACGGCTGGACACCGTATGATGTGATTTAATGCAGTTTGAAGTCCAGTTGTACCTGTTTTCAAAAGGCTAGTATAAAGTAAAAATAGTGATGACACAAACGTTTATATACGAAAAAGGGTTCTTAAAGCAGTGTGAGTTATCTCAAAAGACAGAATAGCAGTAGTTGTTTGCCTTATATTTTTTTTAGCTCTAATCATAATAAAGAATGAAAATATATACTGTACACAATAAATATACATTCTCCTTAAACATCTGGCCCCCAAAACCATCTCCCTTTTTTAACCTTTTAAAGTATGGAGTTACACAAACTGGAGTAATATGGAACAGAAAGTAGGTGCCAATTTCACTTCATTGTTTCTGTACACAAGTGATTGGATTAATTTCTTTGGACTAGCATCTTGTGCCAACTAAGTAGTCTGTGTACATTTACAGGGCTGCCCTCCATAGGATTTTGCTAACTCTATTTGCCATGGCAGCCTAGCAAACAGACAAGGTAGAGACATATACCTAGGTGGCAATTACCTTACTCTAACATTAATTTATCAGTATGCAAATTAACAAATGATCTTTTCACATGTCAAAATAAGCTACTATAATAATGCAGCTCTAGTACTGACTGATTTAGAAACACATCTTCTTTCTCTAAGCCAGGGGTAGGCAATCTCGTCAATCCAGCTGTTGTGGAACAGCAAGTTTCATGAGATATTGCAAGACTCAGCTGCAGTGTCGAGGTTGCCTACTCCCTGTACTCATTACACTATCAAACCTAAGGAGACTTTTAACACCTCAGTCCAAAAATGTTTACATTGCATCATTCTGAAATAATCAGCGTTTGAAGTTACCTGGGTTTATGTGCCAAGGATTATTAACCGATTCCATTTGTGGAATAGTAAGCGGGGATGCACCACAGTTCGATTCCACTAGTTCTCCCACGACTTGCACCTGGGAATTATTCCTCGATCTTAAGGCTAACTTCAGTGGAGCGATAAGGTTGAACTGAACTCTAGAAAGGCATCCGCTGAAGCCTGGGGTATTGTATGATTGGATCTCCTGGTCTATCGTGCCAGTCTCTGGAGACAAAGAACAAAATTGTTGTGTCAGCAAACAATTGCATTTAGAGGATGTACAAAAAGCCAGCTCACAAATGGGCAGTCTTGTCTGGCATAGGGAGCGCATTCAGCTACATTATCTGCACTGCAGTGCTGATCAATATCTGCTCTTCAAGAACAGAGTTCAGATAAAGGCATAATTGGCAGGCAGCTAAATCACAAACCATGAACACAGCTGTCAGCACCTGTTGTATACAGCTTCTGCGTGCCAGGCGGAAAACTGCTCTCTTGGAAAATGTGCATCTTATTCTGTGAAAATCTTATTCAGCATGCAATTCCAGTATGCAAGTATTTCATTTTATTCAGTAGTATACATGGTAGGCCTTAAAGCTGATTACATAAAGCACAGCAGTTCATGCCTGTGTTCTTGATCAAACAAGATGGAGTTGAATCAATTAGTCTGGCTTCTCTGCTGACTTCATAATCTGCTGTTGGTCAAGCACAGATATAATGTCATAGGTGATGATTTGGCAGAGAGACAGAACAGAAATTAAAGGGTGTCAGCAAGAAATAGGGGAGCTGCTTGTACCAACTCGTAGAGAGGTTTCTTATATTCTTTTCATTACTTGAGAAAAATTACACATGGAATATGGTTTCTATAGCAACTATTCTAGTTTCCTATGCATGTTTTTTTCTAATAAAAGAATCAAGTGTACAGAGGCATTTATGGCTTTTTGTGACAAGAGAGTTGCTATCGACAGATAGTGAACAGTTTACAACAATGACTCTATAAACGCGTTGGCCCCCAAACTGCAGCCCTGTGCCTGCCTTAAACTGGCCCTTGGGACACTATTTCTCACTCACCAACACCAACGATGGGGCACTGTTCTTCCCATTGACAACAGCAATGGGGCACTATTCCATTCACTGGCATCAATGATAGGGCATTGTTTTTCCTTCCAATAACTTTAGGAGCTAGGTCATTTTTTTTCTTTACCCCAACGGCTTACCTGCCTTGGGGCATTGTTTACTTCCACTGACCACTGATGCAATGGCTTTTTCTACACCCACTGGCCACAATCCATCCCCCTAAGACCTGGAGAACAGTGAACTGCCCCTTTGTTTCAAAAGATTGGGGACCCTGCCTTTAATGTGTTGGAGGAGTGTAGGAATGTTTCTATTATTTATTGTAGCCTGTCTCATTTAAAGAAGTATTAAACTCTCAAACCTTTCTTCAATAATGGATCAAACAAATATACAGTGACCAGCAAAGTATTTATTTAAATTTACGATCTTATGATCATTATTTCTGCACAGCTGGCTCCAACTCTCTCAACTCAGCTTCCCTGAACTTCCTGTCCAGTACAAGATCACAAGGGACAGAGCAGCCTCCAGCTGCTGTTCATCTACAGACTTGAGTAGAGAGAAAGAAGGAGGAGTGTGTGGAGCAGGGTAATGACTTGCTATGATTCGTTTGTGGACACACACACATCTTACTAGCACACACAAGGGTGGCTTATAGGACCCTGCAAGGGAAAGGAGTCACTTTATACCAGGATATCAGGGCCAGTGCTCAGGGCACCAGCTTATTCTGCAGAAAACTAGCACTTTTAAACACAATATCCCTTGTAAGAAATGTCATCAGCTTTTGAAATAGCTTAACTAGATTTTGACTTTAATATTACTTTGAGATGAATTTGAAAATCAGGATTTGTAATGTTGGATACTGCACATTATTGCAACCTGTTATCAAATAAAAGCATTAACATGCTGATATTGAATCACGTGCACAATTTATCAATTTGTGAGAAAGCAGTGATAACCCTAAGGAGCAAAGCCTTTCAATCTTAAATTAGTTCACACAATATGTAAGCGACTGTCTACTACATTGCATATCAGTGGTAGAATTCTTCCTTTGTTCCATGCGTATAAAAGAAGAATGCTGTGCTGTGTTAGTCATTGATAAAAGCAGAAAAAATGGAGTTTAACAGATAACATTTATTGCTTAAGTCAACAGCCAGTAAATTCTGTTCAACAGAGATTGTGGACTTCATGGGGCTTGGGGGAGGTGATAGAGCACTGGTGCTTGCACTTTAGAGCTGAAAGTTGATGATTGCTTATTGAATTTCCTGGATTTGCCCTAAGGTTGGTTGGGAAGAAAATGTGAGCACCTTCCCACGCTTACTTTTCATTTCTTAAAGTGGACCTTACAGCTAAAATGCAACTTTTGCTTTAAACATAGCCCCCTCCCTCTTGCTAAAACACAGTAGAGAAGACATTTAAAAAAACCTGTAGGGAGAAAAAGTGAGATAGTATGCATTACTTTCCTTTGGCTTCTGCCCGAGGTGTCTAAGTGAAGGTAACAATATTCTCACTCCGGTGAGATCTGGAGAATTAAAGCTGCCCATACACTGTAATTTATTCTTCGTTCTACCTACAGGCTGAATGAAGACAATATAACAGGTTCCTCCATCAATGCTTATAAGTGTTGATTGAGGAATCTCCCGCTGTCTTCAATGTACCCTGACAGCGGCCATCCGCAGCTGTCAGAATACCCAAACAAAGCTGATTGGCTGCTGGCTCTGTTTATTCCAAGACTTCCCAACCAGCTCCTTTGATCAGCTGATCGAGGGATGCCAGCCGAATGGATGTCGACAGTAGCACCCAGTGTGCGAATTTCGGTGGGTTCATCAAGAAATGGAAATATGCATATTGTAAGAGTACTTCAAATCTTGCTAAGAAGATGCTCCCAGCACCGTGCTGCTGCATCATCTTGCTAACTTTGTAGTGTTCACCATGCCCTGGAATCTTGGTGGCAGGAGGATGACGTGACCCCCTGCACATGTATGAGGAGAGGTAAGGATATTATCTTTTTTTTTCCTTTCACTTACTTTTTTAAGGAGCATCTAATAAAAGTAAACATTTTTAGACACTCTCTTTAATGAGTGTCTAATAAAAGTTTATTGGTTTTCCATAAACTTTTTGTTTTTGTTGAAATGTGCCTCTGAACTTGCTAAGCCCCCTTTTACATGGGCTGATCACGAGAGGATCCGTTTACGGCAGTACAAAGTGGATGTGGCATCTGTGTCCATACAGTTTTTCCCTCCATATTGCGATGGAGGGAAAAACTGCATTTAACAGACCCCATGCCAGTCTATGGGGAATCTGATGTAAACAGATACTGCACAATCTGAATCAGATTACCCCCAATCCGGCATGATCCAGTCTGTCGAAATAGAACGCTGTACCATTGGTTTTTGCGGACCCAGCCAGGGGTGGGGGTAACCAGGGCTGCCATAGAATTGCATTGGGTATCTGAAAAAAAATGACAGGCGGACCTGATCAGAGCGGCCGTGTGAAAGGGGCCTAAAACATTTAACTAGTCGCATTGCCCCCTGCCTTGTTGTATGTCACTGCCCTCTTCTCTTCAAGGAGTATCTAATTACTCTCTGTGATGTCCAAGGTCCTCTACCCCCTACATAATTTTTTATGTAGCTGCTAAGAAGAGGAATACTATAGAGCAGGGGTAACCAAACTTCGGCCCTCAAGCTGTTTTTGAATTACAAGTTTCATAAGGCATTACAAAATATGACAGCCACAGGCATGACTTTCAGAGGCAGCTACATAATGGTATTTGTAGTTTTACAGCCTGGAGGACCAACGTTTGCCTCCCCCTGCTATAGAGTATGACTTGAGTGACAGCTCTGAGTTTGCTGGGGCTGCTGACATCTTAGTGCTTTTGTACACAAGGGGGGGTTTCTTAGGTAAATAACATGTCTAAAATGTGTTAAATGCACATATATAGAATTTAGGGCTGTGGAAATTAAAGATTAATTTCTCGATTAATCTTTAAACTTTTAACTAGGCGACGGAGCCACTTGGGCCGGTGAGTTTGCCCAAGAAACTTTCTGCACGTGGGCCAGCCAAGGCATTGGCCTATACACATACAGCACAGCAATGAAGTAATAAAATGAACTAGGATCACACTAATCCAGCACGTTATTATTCTGAGTTGCCCCACTCAAGCGGCGGCCATATTGAGTGGGCCACGTGAGATTAATAACGTGCTGGATTAGTGTTATCCTAGTTCATTTTATTACTTCATTGCTGTGCTGTAAGTGTATAGGCCAATGTAGTTGGATCTGTATGTGCGTTATAATTAATCTAAATTAATCGATTAAAAAAATTTTGATTAATCGAACACGAAAATTTTAATCATTACCAGCCCTAATAGAATTAAATAAATGTTAAATTGATTAAATGTGATTTTTTTTAAAAATGTGAATGTAAAAATGTTGACATAAAGGTATACTGTATTTATCAAGGCTTAGAATCCAGGGACATAATCAAAAGCAAAGAATACAAGGGTAATTGTTCAAAATTGGACATGTACATTAGAGCCAATTGGCAACTGTCTAAAATGGATATAACAGCACTTTCTGATCTCGGGGAAGCTATCTTCTTGTATTAATGTATTACGAGGAGCAAGGGTAAATTAAGGAGGGAGGGTGGGGGCTGATAACAACTGCACTATAGTATTCCACATACACAGTGCAGAGCTGCAAAGCTGTTCCATTAGAAGTTGCAGCTTTTTCCATTCTTGTTTTGTAACTGCACTTATCAAACACCTTTCGCCCTTCTTTGCAAACGACACACTGGGACCCCCAACAGTGTGATTGGTAGGCTTGTATTAATGGAAGCTCATTGTTGGCTGAGTTCCCCCTCGCTCCACTCTCAGTTTATTCGGTTACTATAAAGTTACATGATGAGCAGAACCATGGTAAAACATAACCAAAACTTTGAGCACTATATCACGGATATGCAGTTATTGACTTTGTGCATGTATGTCCCGTGTCTAAATGTGCACTGCATTTAAATAGTTGGCATAAGTACCATGGACATATAACTCCACATGGAGAAAACATGCCTGTGTACATTGAGAGTGCTTACTATTTCACTAAGGGACTTTTGCTCTAATGTGAATGGAGTAATGCACATATTTGATGTGTGTTCCTGCAATT